CTGTCTTTTGCTGTTGGTTGCTATACAGTCCTATACTCGCTATCTGGGTACTACGTGTATATCTAGGTTACTTACTTCTGAACACCATGGCTGTATTCTTCTCGTCCTGTCCTCTGCTGTTGCTTGCAATGCAGGTATAATTTCCATTGTTATTCCTGGTCGCCAGTTGTATTCTCAAATTTGATTCATGCTGCTTGCTTTTAACTTTTAGGTACGGTTTATAAATTGGACCAATACCTGTGTGATTTGTCACTTCAAGGCCGTTGAAAAGCCACTTGTAGACGGGTAACGGATAGCCGGATGCCTTGCAATTTATCATCAAAGTAGCACCTATCATATTCTCAGAGCTTGGGCTGATGAGTTTTATGGAAGGAGGAGCTTGACGAAGAAAACAAGACACTTTTAACTACACAATTGAGTAGGGAAAACAACACAATTTGGTAGGGTAACTTGAATTATATGAGGGGTGGTTTCCGCCAAAATGTGGATGTGTATTTTAATGTGCAATACTATGTTTCTTTGCTGTCTTTTTCTTTTCGCTAATGCTAGTTGACTTTGAAAGAATCTAATTCGGCACAATTCACTTGTTCATATTCCGTTAAAATCACTTTGGAATGTTGTCACATTTTCGTCTTTCGTATTTCGACGAGTTCGTTTTCCGTACACTGACTGTACCGGGTGGCAGAGGGTTTTCGTACCCTGACCGTACCGGGTGGAAGAGGGTTTTCTGAGCCCTGACKGTACCGGGTGGCAGAGGGTTTACCGTACCCTGACCGTACCGGGTTGCAGAGGGTTTACCGTACACTGACTGTATCGGGTGGCAGAGGGTTTTCTGTACCATGACCGTACCGGGTGGCAGAGGCTTTTCGTACCCTGACTGTACCGGGTGGCAGAGGGTTTTCGTACCCTTACCCTACCGGGTGGAAGAGGGTTTTCGTACCCTTACCCTACCGGGTGGCAGAGGCTTTTCGTACCCTGACCGTACCGGGTGGCAGAGGGTTTTCTGTGCCATGACCGTACCGGGTGGCAGAGACTTTTCGTACCCTGACTGTACCGGGTGGAAGAGGGTTTTCGTACCCTTACCCTACTGGGTGGCAGAGGGTTTTCTGTACCCTGACCGTACCTGGTGGCAGAGGCTYTTCGTACCCTGACTGTACCGGGTGGAAGAGGGTTTACCGTACCCTGACCGTACCGGGTGGCAAAGGGTTTTCGTACCCTGACCGTACTGGGTGGCAGAGGGTTTTCTGTACCCTGACCGTAC